ACCTCAAGAAACTCGACTGATTCTCTGCTATATCTTTAACCAAAATTGCAATTTTCTAATTTATGTACTTCATTTGAATGTTTTTTCTAAAATCGCCATAAAGGCCTATGTGTAATAAGTTTTACCAAACTTTTAAGAAACACATTTCAAATAATAGCAACATTTTAAAGTAAAACAAAATTAAATACTATCCTGAACACAGGTATCTGTTTTTAAACAACTAATTAAAAGGAGCAGGTTCAGATAAAAGAGAAAACATATTATTAACCATCAACTGAACCACTGGCAAGATACATGCCAAAAGTAAGAATGTCCCATTGTATTAGCATTCACCAGAGAAATGGCTTCAAACACTAAGATCTAAATGCATACAATTAAAGCCACCAACCACATCAACTGTCCATATTAATCACTCACCAATCTAATTAAAGTAAACCATCTTCTCAGAAAGCTTACCTCTTCTCTTTTTCTTAACATTATCAACTTTTAATTGTTCACCGAATCAGTAATTACTTCTTTATGGTATTATCAAATGTCCTGAATACAAAAATCCAATGTGTGGCAAGGTCAGTTATAGACATGTCCTGATGGCAAATAAAGGGAGAAACTTAACCCATCAAAGTGGTCATCAAAAGCGCAAAATCTATTATGCCTTTCTCCAGACACTCCTGGTTAAATTCAAAGTGACAGGACAAACCAGATCAAAACTAAACACAGCTAGAAGCAACATACAAAACCCTAATGAACTCTTAGAAATCCCGGTATCGATCTGTCAATATCTAAGCTCAATTAGGCCTTTCAGAACAAAATATTGATACCTCATGAGGTGACAAGAAACTAGTTTGGAGTCTTGGCTCTGAAAAGAATAAAACCAGTCACTTTCCATAGGTTACAGTTAAATACAGTCATTTCTCAATATGGAAATCTTGTGAGGATTAAATAAAGATGTAGGCCAAGTACCTATGTAATTAGTCCAGGAGCTGGCACACAACTAGTGTTCAGTAAACATTAGCCCTTCCTTAATTCTTTAAGAACTCAAATCAGGCTGATCAAGTCAAAGACCAACTGATGGCTTAAAAAAATAACATAAAGAAAAAACTTAAATGGTCATCTAGACAACACATCCTTTAAAAAGTTAATGTTTTTAAAGCAAATAAGTTCATGAAAATGAAAAACAGATGTTGAAAGTATTTCTGAATGGCTCATCGTTCATGGCCATTTACATCCTTCACGTTTTGTGAAATCGTCTTTTGGGATGAGCTTTGACAAGAAACAGGCCAAATGCAAACTAACCCCACTTGAGAGTAACGAACGGCACTGCTTGTAGCAGGTGAACAGTTTCCCTGATAAAAGCTTCATTACCGGGTATACTTCAAGCTTTCAGCAATCAGGTTCCCAAACAAACCAGTAACACAACTATAAAGCTAATTTTTTTTATTAGAATTGTTAAGAAATAAGAGTTTGATAAATCATTTACATTTTAAGGAAAAGACATTACTTTCTAACACACATAAAATTTCTTCCAGGTCTAAGGAAATGAAGCTTATTTATTCACACATTGAAAAGTAACACTATAGTGAAGTCTTTTTATGACTTGAGGATGAAATATTTAAGAAATAAAGGTATGGAAAGAACAGAACTTGGTCCAAGAAGTCTTGAGATCAAGTACTAGAGTTGCCATTTACTGTATAAGTTTATATGAAGTTACTTAATTTTTCAGGGAATCAGTTTCTTATAAGGTTCTTTTCACCTCAAAAATGATATAATTGAAATACTGATACTCTTCAGATATATATGTTTGTACCTTTATTAAGTAACACAGACATATTTTAAGGTTGTAGTAATTTAAGACCCATTGTGAAACAAAGAGAGAGAGTGAGTGTGTGTGTTTTGGGTGTTCTGACCCCAAACATTGTTCTCAGTAGTTAGGGCATTTACAAGCCTCGTGACACCTGAATTAACCAAGTAAGCCTTTAAACCCCTACAATGAAACATTAAAATTCAATGTGGCTATAATCTCTTCCTTACAAAACATGGACACAAAGAGTCTGGCTTCAAGTATGGTTTAAAAAACAAGAAGGTGAAATGTATTATATTCACTACCCAGCTTTTCCATATGACCACACACACACACACACACACACAAAAAAAACAAAAAAAACAACAAAAAAAACCACGCAAATGAAAACTCACAAGCCCATTGTAATACATTGTACCACTTCTGAATACAACACTTAGCTCAGGCTTACTACCCTGACAAATAAAGGAAAGCACTTTATGAAGCCAATTTAATTGGGAGGTGACAGAAAACATACAGCCATTTTCTTTAGCCTTATCATCGAATTGGCTTCAGCTCCAATCTCTGGCAAATCCCACTCAACAGAAGAAATTAACCAGGTCAGCAGAACAGGTGCTACGTTGTGTCTGTCAAGGGCCTGGCATCACCACAATTACTTGTACACAATGAAGCAGTAATCTTTACAGATCATCTCTCCCAAGAAGCATATTGGGGAGGGGGAAGAAAACTGAAGGGAGGAGGGGGAAAGTGGGAAGGAGAGGAATAGGAGGCAAAAAGAAAAGGCAAGAAAAGAAAATGAATGTGCAGCTGCCTTGAGGCTCAGCAGATGTCGGGATGTGATGTACGAGGCTAGGATAAGCTGTCGTAGCCTGCTGCCAAACAGTGGTAAGTGATTAAAGCCTGCACAGTTCTAAGCACCATATTTAGAATCTGCGGGGTTTCAAGACTTGCACCCATTCCTTGCTGTGCTGCCAGATGTTGGCAACCGGTCCAGTTCCTACTGACTGTGCATGGATGGCAGCAGTTGGTACAGCAGCAAAGCAATCTGGAATGCTTCCGGAGATACTGTACATTAACAAGTGTCACCCATCATTCACCTTTACAGAAGGCTGAAACAACTCCAATTTGCTGCCACTTCCCTCTTGGGAAACAGCCAAGATAAAGTTGCGCCTGGCAGTCCCATTTGTTTCACTCAGGTGTTTCAGCTGCCTTGCTGACCTCTATTAGTTTAAGTTTTAATTTAGATTAACCCCAGCACCCCAATTAACCAGCAAGGGGAAAAGCTAAGATGTGACTAGTCATAACTCTGAAATCAGAATTTACCAAAGTTAAAATTATTAATTGGGATGAAGGGCCAATCAAGTAATGCTATTTCTCTTTAAACAGACCTCCAGGCCAAAAAATAATTTTTTTAAATCTTTCAGGCTAGGGATTGCCAGTAGAAGCAATTCTTTCCATAATTTCAGTTTATTTTATTAAGGCTATTTAATTTATTATATACTCTCCATTGACTAATGTGCACTTCAATTAATGAAGACTGAAACATTTTTGATTGTCTCCCATGATCTCACACAACTATATCCATTAATATCCTGTATCAGGTATTTCCTTTGACATTATAGAACAAAATAGAGTTTCCTACTCTTCTGACAAATGGATATAATAAGAGAAGAAAAGGAAAAAAGAATCAGGACCTCTGACTAGGAACACTTGAGACTCCACCAATCCTCTCTCCTCTCATTTCTTTTAAGACTCACTATGGTAATAATTTTATTGAACAACACAGAATGAATAGAAAGATTAATAGAAAGTTTCTCTTTTTAGGACAAAATCAGAGGTATCTGCAATAAAGAATCACTTGTTCTACTGGATTCACAGTGCAATTTTCCTAAGTTCCTTCCTTCATATTCCATGTATATAATACAGTCATCATGGTTAAACCTTCAACAAACAATTGCAAAATCTTTGCAAAAATTAAAACACTAAAAAATTTAGCAGAGAAAAAAAAATTATCTTGATAAATAATGATTCAACAAAAACTGATATATCACTGCTGAGCAACCTCCTCAATTCTCTGGAACTAGAAAGGATACATCCTAAAGCACATTTCATTAAGAAATATGACTTATCAAGAGACCCGGGATTATAGGAAATTATCTTAGTTCTTAGAATAGTTCAAATGTCTAGCTCAACATTCACTAACATCATTAAAAAGAGCAGCATGGTAAGAGGTATGATGTGAGGGAAAGAATTGGGAGATGTTTGTGAAGAGATTGAGAATAGAACCACATTTCAACTTCTACCAATCTTTCTGTCTACAAACACTACAACCTATATATCTATATCTATCTATCTATCTATCTATCTATCTATCTATCTATCTATCTATCTATCCATCCCTCCCCCTGTCCCTCACCCTCAGCCAGCAGCAGGCCCCAATCGGCCTGGCCCCGATCAGGACTGGGCAAGACGGCCCCAATCGGCCGTGATAGCTGGCCAGGCCCAGGGACCCCACCTGTGCATGAAATCAAGCACCAAGTCTCTAGTATTATTATAATCAACAGTAGCAATCTCAATCCAATCTTAACTGATTTGAACAGGCACAAAAATAAACTAAAGACAAGAGACTTAATAAGTAAGAGAACCAGAAGTGCAATTAAAGAATTCTGAGATCCCAGCCCTTCAGTTCCATATTCTAATATAATAGTAAATAGAGGCCGGATGCACAAAAATTCATGCAAGAGTAGGCCTACCTTCCCCCAGCTGCAGGCACTGGCTTCCCTCCGGCACCCGCTTTATCCTGAAGGATGTCTGGTCTAATTAGCATATTACCCTTTTATTATTATTATAGAAGTATAGATAGGACAAAAACCAAATAACTAACCAAAAATCCTCCATTTTAACATTATCAAAATCAGTTAAGAAAGAATAGACCTGATTCAAAGTTGAAACCGTTTTACAGATAACTCACAATCTGTAACAACTAACAAAGTAGCTGTAGCTATTTTCATTTCAAAAAGAAAAATATAAGACAAAAGAAAAGCAACAGATCTAGAACTACACAGTAAGTGAATTCTGAACACAGAAGTTTTAACTCCCTGTGTAACTCTATCCCCAAACCTTTTGGTCCGAGAAGTCGATCAGCTGTTTTAAAATGCTAAAACCTGATTTGTAACAAAAGAAAATAGTGTAAAAATCATACCTGGTGGTAAAAATCATCATCATCAAAGATTTCTTCATCCAAATCCTTCAGGTGGGCATTGGCAGGAGCCTGAGGAAGGATCTCCTATATCAATAAGAAGAAAAGGTGAATACCATTAGGTTATCTAAATATTGTAGTACTATAAACATTCAAAGCACTGCTTTCCTTAAAATATAAAGAGCTCTTAAAATTAAAGAACGAAAACAGTCCAATTGAAAAATGGGCAAAAACATAAACAGGAACTTGACAGAATAAGAACCCCAAATAGTAAAAAAAATCATTTGAAAGTCTGTTTAACTTCATTATAATTACATATATATATATATATATATATATATATATATATATATGCAAATTTAAATGAAAAGACACCATTTTTTCACCTCTAAAGCTGACAACATTCAGCAGTGGAAAACACAGCTGGTGGGATTGGAAATTACAGCCTTTTTTGGAGGCAATTCAGCAGCATTCATAGGGGTTTAAAATGCATATTCTCTTTTATCTAATATTTCCAACTCAAGAAATCTATCCATATGTTCACACAAATACAAAAATATAAATGCTCAGGAATGTTTACTATAACACTGTTTTAAAACTAGAGATAACAATAATATCCACTGTTTGAATAAATTGTAGTACACATCCATACAACAGAATACTCTAGCCATTAGAGAAAATGAGGTAGCTCTCTATGTAATAATATGGGAAAATATCTGGGATATATTAAATTTAAAAATTGTAAGATTTTATAAATACTTTATAACATTTTATGTATTTATATAATTTAGTTTAAAAGAAAAGGCAACCACATTTTATATATGTATATTTCTGTATGTTGCTATGTACATATTTTTCTGTGTCAGCAGAAAAAATACATATATATATGAATGGAAAATAACCCAAAAGCATGTTACAACTATGAACATGGGTTAAATCTGAGGAGTAAAATTTTCAGACTAGGGGGAATTTTACTTTTCATTTAAAATTCCTCTGAACCTAAGTATTAAATATATATATTTCTACTATAAATGGAAGTTTCCCTCCAAGAAAAGAATCTGACTAATCCAATTTTGGATCCTTTTCTGGAGTATCCAAAGATCCAATATAAAGCCTAAAGAACACACTTGCTTCAATACTGACATTTCTAAAGAAACTGCTTTAAAATTAATTTTAAAATTTGGATTACAAATGCTTCCATTGCCAGACTCATATCAACTTCAAAATTAAGATAAGACTACACACATGTTAAGAATAGCTCCAAATTTTAAAACCATTTAAAAAACACACACATTTCTTTAACAATCTAGTCGTGTTTTTCCCACTTTCTTTCATTAATTTTTTTTTTAAATGTATTTTTATTGATTTTGTACAGAGAGGAAGGGAGAGAGTTAGAGAGCTAGAAACATCGATGAGAGAGTCATTGATCAGCTGCCTCTTGCACCCCCCCCACTGGGGATATGCCCGCAACCAAGGTACATTCCCTTGACCAGAATAGAACCCGGGACCTCTCAGTCCCCAAGCCGACGCTCTATCCATTGAGCCAAACCGGTTTCGGCTCTTTCATTAATTTTTCATATCAAGAGTAATACCTACAAGGAGGTGATCAGATTTTTCAGTTAATTAGCCTCACAGAAACTGCTCCCCATAATCATCCTGCATGCATCACAGAGTTCTTACCGGTTGCCCTGGCAAACTCTCCGGGACAGGCTGCGGTGCTGGCTCGGGTTTGCCAAGAACTTGGTAAATAGAACGCTTGGTCTGTGTCCTTCGAAGTAATCTTTCTTTGTCCATTAGAATATGATCAATCTGAGTCAAGATTGAGCGTTCAAAGGCACCGAAACCCTGCAACAACATTAACCAGTGTCAGATAATGCAGAAAGTCTGTGCTGAAGGCAGCTACATTGGTTTCTCTATCTTTCTGTGTCAGCAGAGAAATAGACAACCCTTCTTTCAAGAGAGACTTTCTGTTAAAGACTGAGTTTATGAATGGCTGTAATTGTTCTCAGAAAAAAAAAGTGGCTAATAGATTGTATTACTTTCCTACACCCAGAGTTTAACTTCTGCTCCTTTAATAATATTTGTTTAACATCTGTTCTTTTAATAATAATTGTTTAACATCAACTTCTTTATTTTTATTTCCAACACTAGAACACTTACAAGGCCACAATTTCTGGAATAAAATATTCTTTTTAATAAAGTTAAAATCACAAGTCTGAATGGTATAAACCCCAATGATAGGAATTCAGTAAATTTTTTTCTACAGAATGACTGATTACCACAGTGACATCATCCACACAAACAAGCTGTAGATCCAATTTTTTAGAACTGCTTCATGTTGCCACGCGCGCACGAACACACACACACCCACACACTTACCTTCCCCAGTTTTCCAGAAGCCAGTTTGGTTTTATCATGCCACTTCTGAAGTGTGCGGTTCCTGTAAACTGTGAAGTCAGCAAAACGCTTTGCCATAAAGCCAGGATAGTCATCCATCTCCAGCTTCCTCTTTGGTGGGGCCCTTTTCTGCTTCTTCTTCTCTCCTACCAGCTCTTCCTCTTCACTTGAAATCTCCTCCTCACTACAAAAACCAGGAAGAATAATGAGTCCAATATAAATAAACATTACCCATATAAAAAGCTAGACTTGCATGAAGTTGAAAGTATTTAGGCCTTCCCTATTTTGTCTACATATTGTATTAAATAGAAACACAGATGTGAGGATGAATTTTATTTTGTTTGAAAAGAATGTTCATGAGGTCAATCAAAACCTCATTTAACTTTTCAAATAAATATAACTGATTCAAAATATTTCTTAAAAGGTAAGCAAATTGTAAAATTACATGAGATTGCAAAAACATTATTAGAAATGGATATGAACCAAGCCTAAACTGGTTACAAGAGGATCTTTAAAAGTTAAAACATATTATCATACTTTTATGACCTTAATCCCCAAATCAATAAAAACAAACACCTCCCTATAATCAATTGTTCAGGACAACTGAATAATATTAGCAACCCAGATGAGGAGAAGATGAATGTGAAGAAAACATAACGGGGTAGGCAACAGAACCAGCATTAAGCCCCAATATTGTGCGTAACTGCCATGAGAAAGTAATACAACCTCCAATTATATAGTCAATCGCATTCACTGGATTACAGACCCGAACACACAGTAGGTACTCAACAAATGTGAGTTTACTACTTATCCCTCCAATTCCATAGAAAAGAATGGAGCAAAGGATAAACAAAAGGGAAAGCAGTAAGCAGGCTCAAACAAAGGGGCAGGGAGATGCTCCACTGAATGGGATAATTTCAATAAAGAAAGAGGTTTATTCTACTGTTTCCTGAAATTTTCCACCCTTCAAAATAATTGCTCCTTCCCTCAGTGAAAAGAAGATGGTTGTGACCAGAGATTCCATGGTATGGGCACAAGTGCTTCATAAACATTAATTAAGCATTGACATTAAAATGTGCTTTCATCTACTAATTTCAATAGCTCTAAAGAGAAGGCAAGTCTTTTGCTGAAGTCATAAAGAGAATGAGGCACAATTAAGTATAAAAATTCAAAATTTAATTCCCAATTTTTGTGCTATCCTGGCCAAAAGGGCAGGTAAATATAAGTGGCTCTATTTTACTAACATTTAAGTCTGGTATCTGCATGGAAAGGATTTAGCTTTCTTTTTTTCATAAATGATGGGACACTATTCATATGAAAAGAAAACAAGCAACTCCACAGCTGCATTCCTCCTTACCTTTCTGCTTTGGGCTTCGTCCCATCTACTAGGTACCTAGTGTCAGGGTACTGGAAGAGCAGCTCTTCCTGAAGACCTACCAATGACCTCAACAATGCTTTAAGTGCCTTGTGACCTGGGAAATAAAGCACAGAGAAGGAATAATTATGGCTCCTGAGCAGCTCTTGCTCAGGGTAAAAGTGGGGGCAGGCACAGGGTATGCAGGGACTAAGAACAACAACCTGAAGAGGAAGGCATTGTTATTATTTCCTTTTGCGAATTCTGTTTTTCAAAAATATCTTCTTACCTGGCTCTCCTCATAGCCAACAGGATGCATTTGTTAAAAAGTTCGTCAGCCTAGTCCTATTCTAGAGGCTAATGACACTGGTCATCACTAGTTATGTGTTGATAGCACTCAGACATCTCTCCCAAGCTCAAACTTACACATTTCCAGCAACTCCAAGAAAATCTTCGCATGGATGACCCATCACTCCTTCATATATACCATTTCAGAAACAGAACCTTTTTCTTCCTAATACTTCTTCCTGGTCTGATTTTTCTCTTCTCTTTTTAATGTGTTTTCATAGATCACTGACATTTTGGTGCTCTTATTCTATACATTTAATTGATTAAAATTGTATATTTTTCACAGTAATAGTTATCTCTGGCCACGCTTCTATCGCTCCTTCCCATTCCCCCTTAAATAACTGCAGTCGCCGAAACCAGTTTGGCTCAGCGGTAGAGCGTGGGTCTGTGGACTGAAAGGTCCCAGGTTCAATTCCTGTCAAGGGCATATACATTGGTTGCAGGCACATCCCCTGTGCAAGAGCAGCTGGTCGATGTTTCTCTCTCATCGACGACATTTCTATCTCTCTATCTCTCTCCCTTCCTCTCTGTAAGAAAAATCAATAAAATATATTTAAAAAATAATAACAACAACTGCAGTCTTCTCACAAGTAACCCTACTTTCACTTAACAATCCCTACATTCATTTTTGTTTTACAATCCACACTAACTTCAGCTCAAGTGATTTTTATAAGTCTTGTTCTATCATTTCTGCTACTACCTGGCCCAGCATGAATTATACTATTTACATCCCAACTTGTTTCATCAATGGTACACCAAGACCTGAGTTAAACAAACTAACCTTGTGAGATAGCCTGCTCAGATTGGTCAGAAGGAAATCAATAACTCAATAACTACGTTGTATCCCTTCAAATACTCTGCATATAAGACTACATAAATACTTCCTTGTTTAAAATAAGACCCTTGATCACAGCTTTTGCAAATTCTGTATTCTAATCCTTTTATAATCAGTGTATATCCGTACCACTTGGGAACATCGTTACTCAAGAAATCCAAAATGCCTTGTGTTCCAAACCAAAATTCCAAATCTATTGCTCTGCCTCTTAAAAAACAACAAAACAAAATTTTCACCAAATATGGAGACAACTATACTCATGAAGAACAAAAGTAATACGGCATTATTCTTCTGTCAGCTTTGAACAAATGGATTAAGTATAAACAAGATGATAACACAGGCCTGAAGGAAAAATATCAATAGAACAAAGGTGTAGCAATTTTAAAACCTAAAATCAGTCAGTCTAAATGTGCTAAGTGTATAAGTAGAACACAAATTATGTAAATATATATGGGAAATTTTAAAAGGAATGAGCAGAACAAAGAATACAAATGATAATTACAAATATTAGATTACCACAAATGGTCATCTGTGAAAAGACCCCAGAACTAATAAGAGATATCCCAAGTAGCTAAGGTTCTGAAGTATATATTGTAGCAAGAACACTGAGAAAATAGAAAAGACACTTATACTTGGAAGGAAGCCCATGAAAACGGACAATTGTCATCTCATCCAAATTCCATGTATTAATCACTATTTTATAACTTTTCTAGAAATGTCTGTATCTTAAAGAGACAGGGCCCATGTTTTCCAAAGTGAAACCACAAATCAATTTTACATTTGCACGCTAGTTTCTAAAATTCCAAAGTCTCAACTTTGAAAATATTATGCTCAATGAAATAAGCCAGTGGCAAAAGGGCAGACACTGTTGATTCCATTTACATGAGGTACCTAAAACAGTCACATTCATAGAAAGTAGAATGGTGCTTGCCAGGGGTTGAATCAGGAAGGGGAAGGGGATTTATGGATACAGTTTCAATTTGAGATTATGAAAAAGTTCTGGATATGGATAATGGTGATAGTTGCATAACAATATGAATGTACATAATGGTACTGAACTGTACACTGAAAAACAGTTAAAATAGTAAATTTTATGTCATGATATTTTACCACAATTAAATAAACACTTTTAAAAAAATCCCAAGACCAGAATATAATAAATAATTCTACCATTTTAGACAAAATAATCTACAATCCCTCAATCTTGAATTCAGTCAAAAAGAACGGGGGGGGGGGTAGGGGGGAGGAATATTATTCAGCCTTTAAAAATAAGGAAATTCTGACACATGCTACAATATGGATGAACCCTGAAGACACTATGAAGTAAGACAGTCACAAAATATTATATCATTCCACTTATATAAGGTACGTAGTAATTCATACAAACAGAAAATTGAAGGGTAGTTTCCAGAGGTTGAGGCAGAGGGAAATATTTGTTGTTTTAATGAAGTGTAAAGATTTTTAGCTTTGCAAGGTGGAAAGATTCTAAAATTGGTTGTATAACAATGTGAATATACTTAACACTATTGAAATGATTAGTAAGGTAAATGTTGTTATGCATTTTTTTTGCCACAATAAAACATTTAAAAGAACAGAAAAGGCCAGTGCTTGTTCCTTACTTTTACTAGGTACCATGTGTCATGTTCTAAAATATGAAATGAAGAACCATGCAGGGAAGAAGCTGCAGAGCAGTCCATAATGTTTATAGCTGCTTGCCCCCAACAAGCAAGTCATAATTTGACTCTAACATGTAACATAACCAAGAATTGTGAAAACATCCAATGAAAGCCTAGTACTTTAAGGGCCACTCTCAAATAGCTATACAAGCCCTTTTATTTTGTTCAAGTCAGTTTTTAAAAATCCATTGCAGATATATTAGACAGCCTATCAATCCAACAAGAAAGCAGAGAGCCAATATCAGTAAATCAAAGTGTGCCTTTCTGTTAATACTCTCTCATATGTTCTCATTTTATACACCCCTTCACCCAGTCAGAAAGTAGCCCTGAAGTATTTAAGCTCCATTCAGGGATAGCACCACCATGCATCAAAGTGTCAAGGGACCTACCAGAGATGAAATCTGCAATTCTGTGCTTCTAACCACACCAGAAAAAAAAAAAAAAAGGAAAGGAAAAAAAAAAGTTTATCAAAGTAAACTCACTAGTGGCCAACACATGGACAACGGACAACTTCCTGTTTTAGAAGAAAGAACCCAATCTTCATTTCTTTGCAATATTAGAAGATATTGCAATATCTTCATTTCCTCCTAGTAAGATTTTATGTAAAACCTGAGGAGACAAGGAGCAATCCTTTGCTGGACATGGTAGGCCTCCTCAAAGCCACAACTGATAAGAGTGAGTCAAGACTCTCTCTGGGAGGCTCCAATCTAACAGTGAATTCTTCCCAGACAAAACCAAGACAAATGCTCTTTATCACTCATATAGGGCTGAATTCTGTTTGTTCAACCCTATAAATTATAAAGAGAATGTAATCAACAGTTTCTAATTCACTTCAAATTTTTCACCCATTACTGTTAAGAGTTAAGTTTTTAAAAGCAGCAAAGATGCATATACTTTCTTCTCTCTCCTTCTTGGCAAGTGGTTACCAAAACAAACAAACAACAACAACAACAAAAAATAGAGACTGTCAAAGATACATGTTTATTTTGCCTTACATGGTCAATTTCCAGAAGAGAGCAAGAAGAACATATGCCTCACCGTATTACCAAGATTCAACCTAAGCATCTAGGCACCAATTTAGGAATAATTTTCCAAGCAGATAATAAATAGAAAGAGGTCAGTAACCCCACATTCTAACTGACACTATCACTAACTAGTCATTTTATAGACTGAGTGGACCAATGTAATCTCTTTGAGTCTCAATGGTCTCATCTATAAAACACAGATAATTCTTTGCCTGTTTAGCTCACAGAAAAATAAATGTTTTTTATATATTAAGGTATTTTTTAAAGTTTTAATGTCATAAAGATGGAAAGAATATTACCATAAAAATCATCATTTCACATGGTGAAAATTATTAAGCTCTGCTTGTACTGATCTACAGCACTAGGGCTAAGCTAGTACTCACAGTCTGATATTAAGTATTCATTTGCATGCTACCCATATGCAAGCATTCTATATAGAAAATGTCACCAATCTAAAAACCATTTTCACCTAACAGCTTTATTTTTCCCCCTGATTCATCTAGGCTATCCAACAAAAGCAAAATTGTAGGCAGAGAATAAGTCTGGACATGGGTGCACAGTTCATTCATTAGATTATAACCCAATATGTAAAACTTTGGTAAGGGGGTGGAGGTGGAATGGAAAGAGTGAATATATAAAGTAAAATAAAGTTTACCTTATCAGTTTTTAAATATCTATAACATTATTTTTAAAATATGCAAACATACAATTATTTATGTATAATAAACTGCCACATCCCTATTACCCCCAGATAAATATATTGAACTAGAATGTACATATAACAAGGGCATGTGTTTTTTCTCCTTCAAAAGTAACTCTAGAACTAGAGCTAAACTATAGGTCAAAATGACACACAATATATTGGCCTGAGAACAATACTTTTCATTCAAATCCACACAAGCCTGCCACTTGCACTAGTCATCCCCGGCAATTAATCCCCCAAGAAAGACGTTTGATTAAATCTTTTCAAGCAAATCCTTTGCTTTGCTTTTGTTAGTTCACTTCTTGTCAACATCTATTAAAATATGCCTTTAATTCTCCCACAATCTTAAAAAACACCGATTCCACTGTCTTCAACTTTAATCAACTGTATGGCCGGCATTTTTCATTTCATAATAATGTGCTGCTTGGAATTCAAGAGGCAGGCTCAGCATCAATCATCTGGTAAGAATTTTTCCACTGCAATAAATATGCAAATGAGGAGAGCCAGTCAGTCGTATTTCAGGCCCGACTT